TATAAAAAACTTCAATCTTTGCAAGAAAAAATTGAGCAAAGTTATACATTTTTTTCCCTTTCCAAAGAGAAACTGCTTATTTACCACCATTCAGAAAGCTTTTCGAAAAGATAACATTTTTGAAACATTCTAGACTAAGTGGAAGAAAGTGCCAAATCAATCTCTCTTTTCTAAGCTAGAAAAGCTTAGTACGTTTTACTTTGTTATAATCCAATCCCTTTAAACTTTAGGTTTCCCAGAGTCCTTTCATTGATACATTGTCAGAAAAATCATTCCTAGGGCAAAATGTACCTTTGCGGGGAGGGAGTGAAATATCTAGAAATGACATCAAACAGGTTTTGAAAATTTAAATTTCCACTGTGCTTGAATAATACAGTTCCAAGCTTTTATAAAGTAAGGACTTATGAATATATGCTCAACAAATCTACAGGTGAATGTGGGCATTTAGTAAATGCTCAAAACCAAATATAAAATATCAAAACAGCAAGCTAAAACTTAAAGCAATCAGTTATATTTCTATGTAAAGAACACTTTAGTGAAAAAGTGGCCCTAATTTTGGAAAAGAAGGCGCAATCAGATTTAAAAGAAAAACATCTTCAGAACCACATTGAATTCACATTTAAATTTGTGTTTTCCATAATTTCAGCAATATGTAGTAGGTCTGTGAACTTCTCACCCTCTTAGGATCCTTCACAAAGTAACTTCCACTTGACCCTTGAGAGATTCTCTCTGGAAAAACTCCAAGTTCTACTGCTTGCTCTGCTCTTGATATAATTTCAGCAAACTCTGGATCATCCAAGAATGCATTCATCCCTGCCATACAAGAAATTACTGCATTAGGAGAAAGACCAGCTTCAAGAACGCTCAGGATATGCATCACTATATGTATGGATTAGGTCACTGGCTTTAGGACAATAAAGTACAGAAAAATGCAATCAAGTATTACAAGTTCTTCTTTCTGGGTTCTCTGACCCCAAGCCCACTTCCCTTTAAGTTCCACACGGGAAAAAACGTTCACTATTTGTTGAAAAATACCACATGAACACCTCTCATTTCACCTCCTCGGCAATGAGTCTGTCCTTCATCCTACTTCAGCCAGCTCTAGCCTTGTCTCCAATTCTGTCCTTATCAGTAACTGCAACCTCCCCTATATTTTCAATTTCAAGCACCTCCTATCTTCCCAGTTCACCCTGAGTCCAAAAGGTCTTCCATCCCACAAGAGCCTGCAAAGCACCAGTCTACCACACCGTCCTTCTTCACCAGCTGCACATTCTCATTTTCCTCCTTGGCCAGATCTAATTATGGTCCAGCACTACAGACCCACTTTGCCACTCTCTCTTCGTCACGGTCACCTGGGAAACTCCCAGTTCTGGTTAAGCCCACAGTCAGCTGACTCTATGCCTGCTCAGGGACGGCTGGACTCACACGCATGCGCCAACTCCTCTTCTCAGTCTCCATCTCCTCTCACCCACCCTCTCAGCAGACGGTCTAGTGCCCTATTTCACTAAGAGAAACAATTTAAAAAGTGATCACCAGCCCCCACCACAGTGTCTACTGACCCGTCACTTAACTGTGGGTTTGCTAGATCTGCTTGTGCTCCTCTCCTCTCCTTTATTAAAACTGACGACTCCCATATTTACATCTCAAGCCCGGATTTCTCCCCTGAACTCCAGACTACAGTACTCAATGTTTCTACTTGGATGTTAATACACAGATCAAACTTTACTACCTCAAGCTCAATCTTCATCTTTACCCACCCTCCTGAAGACTTCATCTCCATTGTTCCCTCATCCAGCTGCTGGCAACTCAAAATCTCCCAGGTTAAGCTAAAAAATTTTAGAATCATCCATAATCTCCCAGGTAAAGCCCTTCACATCTGTGACAGTTAAGCTGGACTGTCAACTTGATGGGCGTGTAAGCCACCTAGGGGATTAGGAAAGCCACTTTTGGGTGCATCTGTGTGGTCACAGAGGCATGACACTGGGTACTGTGTATACCTGGTCCCTGGCCCCTTCCTCTCTGGCCCTGATTCCTCTGCTCCATTTCCTGGCTGCCAAGAGTTGGCGTTTCTCCACCAGGCCTTTCTACCATGCCATTTCTTCCCTGGAGCCAGCTGACCATGGACAGAACTCTCTGAAACCGCGAGCCAAATAAACCTATTCACATTTTAACCTGGAATTTATTTCAAAGCTATATGAGTATTATTGTGAAAATTCATAACTTTGCTTAACTCAGAAATAAATCTGTTACTAACTTTTAAAAGACTGTGCTGGGAAAAATACTACTAAAAGGTCAATTAGGCATATTTAACCTATTGTAAAGAATAAATAATCCAAATACTTTAGTCATGTCTATAAATTGATATGCCCATTCCAAATTATCTCTTGAAAAATCTTTAAAAACCAAGAAATTGCCTTTTTTGTTAACTTGGAAGAAGGATCAGTATTTAGTGGGTACTGATATATTTATTTGAATAAATATAAGTTTCTAGTCTCATTCAAGCTCTTCAAGCACTCTTTTTTTTTAACTTTTTTTCCACGGAGGTACTGGGATTGAGCCCCAAGGGCCTTGCTCTGAGCTCCATCCCCAGCTCTTTCTATGTTTTGAGACAGAGTCTCACTAAGTTTCCCAGGCTGGCCTCAAACTTGGGATCTTCCCTGTCTCACCCTCCCCAGTAGCTGGGATTACAGGCATGCGCCACCACATCTGTTAAGACTCCTCACTCTTCAGACGTTCAGCTCACCCACTGAACCTTGTGGTTACCATGAGTCTACCAAATCTACTTCCCATGGCTAATTCTTCTTCATCCTGCACACTTACAACACTAACAAAATGCTCTTCAGTCCCAGTGAGGCAGAGGTCTTTGCTTTCTGATGTATCTCATGTGCCTGGCACACACAGGCCCTCAATAAATTTGTCTGAAAGTTTGATGAACTATCCCCTGGGCCACACTTAAGGGCTATTGCTAGTCCTTTACAAAGCAGAAACTAAAAATGGATTGAAAGAACTCATTACATAGCCTTTTATATTTAGTTGAATATAAGTATTTAAGATGATTTTATGAAGTATTCATTTTAAATGAATAAATCAAAATGAACTCGTCCTCCCTCGAGGATTAGAAGTACATCTTACTCATCTTTACATCTTACTCACAAGCCAGAATATTTGCTAGAAAAAAGCAAGTGCTTACAAGTCTGGTGAGCTGAGCCCTGCTATTCATCCTTCAGGTCACAAGTTGGATGCCATTTCCTCTGCCAAAGCCTTCCTGGCTCCCATATCCAGGGCACAGTTCCATGCCTCCAGGGAACCCTCAGCTTTCCCCATTAGAGGACATACAGGGTCTGTTAGAACTGTTTGTTTAATCGACCATTTCCTTCATTAAGCTGCAATGCTGTGTGGGGACAGGGCTAGCAACCACAGGCCTCCATGTGATAGAAGCCACTATTGTTTCCTCGAGGCCTTGGTTTACACTGGCACCTAGTAGGCACTCAAATGTTTGATGAATGCTGAATCTCTGTAATAAATAGGAAACAAAGGACAACTGTATTTGGAGCAGTGGTTGAGGAACAATCTCCAACCCATGGCCACTCACTTTCCAAAGCTTGGTTATAGGGGATCAAGACACATGTACACCTACTCTTGTAAATCTTCTTTTAAATTAAATCAGGAGTGTCCTGAACCTCCACTGAGTAATACTGTTAACACCAGCTATTAGACTTGCTTCTAAAATGGGCTTCTGGGGAGTTATAAGAAACAGCTGTATGGAATCAATCCCTTTTATTGATTCTTTTATTGAGAGATATTGTTCAGCACGGAGTCTCTTCTCCAAGAGAATATGTGACAGGCTACCCTTTATCACTGTGTTTTGGCTCAAACAATCAGTTTAACTTTATGAATATAATTGGGTTCTCTCATGTTAACTGTTCAATAATTTTAAAAGTCAACTTGTGGGGTGCCTGTATCAAGTAACTGATAAGTATTTTGTGTATTCTTATTCTAGTCTCCATCTTACTTAGTTTACTACTCTTATTTCCCATTCTCATCTTCCTCATTTGTAAATGATTTTATTTTGTTCACACATTTATAAGCCATTATGAATCACTAAATGATTTATAAATACACATTTTCTATTTTGGCTGCTTTTTGTAAATTCAAATATTTTTCTCTGTTAGGCTCTACAACAGAAGACATGTGTTCAATGTTCAGTCACATTACCCCTCCCTGGTTTAAGTGGGAACAAAAAATAGTACTCGCTTCAAAGGGTCAGTTATGAACTAATATATAGGAAGCACATTGAACTGTCTACCACATACCAACTGCTATATAGGTTATTACCCATTATCATCTTTGTTACTCTCCAATTTAATGATTAAAATAACTAACAAGGAATGCCAGAACTCTTGTTTGACTCTGATCTAACAACTTGCACTATGGTTTATGTTATTTCTAGACTATGTCAAATGTCTTGTTAAAATAACAGGCACACAACATTCTTCATGGGCTAAGTACGTAAGGCCTCTGTCTATATAAATAAAATAGTTAAGCATCATAAATGATGTTAATAGTAACCTAAGGCAAGAATGTCTTGGAAATAAAATAATCTGATGGTAAAGGATGAAGTAAGTGAAATGACTCATTTAGAAAAACCCTAAACTTAAACATCTAGTTAAGTCAATCATATGCTTTTCAGAAATGTCTTCTAAAGATTTTTCAGCAGTTTTTATAGTTCAAAACTATTTTAAAATGCCATTAAAATAAAACCTCCATAATATTCACATGTAACAAACACAGAGATCTAGAGCAAAATGGAAATAATGCAGGCCATAAAAGAAAAAAGAACTAGTTTCAGTCTTGGCTTTACCACTTCCTGGATATTTGACTTTGGGCAAACCACTTACCTCTGACGCTTCAGAACTTCCAGTCTTTATAGTTATATTAATTTTCAATTCTCACAACGAGGAAGGGAGGTCAATGATAACTAACTTGCTGTGGTGTTGTGAGAATTAATGAAAAATAATTTTTAAAAGATCTTAGTTACCACCACTAAGAAGGTAAGAATTTCTTTTTTTTTTGGTACCAGAGATTGAGCTCAGGACCTTGCACTTGGGAGGCAGGCGGTGGAACCACTGAGCTAAATCCCCATCCCCAAGAATTCCTTTTAATAATTCATTTGTATTCTAATTACTATACTCATCCTCACTTTGATCTTTATTATCTGTTTACAAAAAAGTTCATTTTCACACAACAAACACACTTTCAAAAGTAGGTTCTATTAAAATAGTAACTTTGGAGTTGAAAATGGCAAGCTAGGCATATGGATCTTAATTACTTCCCAGACTGGCTTCTAGGTAATGTATGTCCAAAATGACAGTGCTGCTAGGTGAATGCAGGTCTATTTGTGATCCGGTTCTAACTTATTTGCTCTAACTAGTGTCACACCGCAAATGGCACATACAATTAGCCAAAGTTGTAATGGTAGCAGACATCCCCAACAGATGTATTTTCCAAGATGTTAACAATCAGACAGACTGCTCCCTTGGGTCTGATTTATTTTGGAACATTAATTTGAATAGAAGTTTAACTAGAACTTGAGTGACTTATTCTATCCAAAATTCTTTAAATTATTAAAGGCACATTAGAGTATTAGGAGCAGAACAGGTAAAAATCTAACAACTCCAGAAAAACAAAGTGGAATTCACTAAAAAAAAAACCCCAAAAACGAACTAAAACAAAGCAAAACACTACTTTCTGTGGCTCTTCTTTAAACTCTGTCACATGGAGTGATACTCCAGGCAAGGTGTGCACGCCTTCTCCCTAAATGCAAATAGGCCTGTCTGTCGCTAACTGAAAGTCTTTTATGTATCAGTGTACTCACTTTCCACCAATTTAATCCAACTTCACACGCCAAAAAAACTGACTTCATCAACAAGTATTGAGGCCTGCAATAGCATGCTTACATTTTACTAACTTCCAACATCCTTTCAATTACCCCTTCTTTCAGAGGCCATCAGTCCAGTTAAGAGTGCAAATAAGTGTGTTTTCTTAACGTATCAGTAGAGAAGCTATTCAAAAACTCTGCAAGAGACGGCAGGAACAGGAATTCAAGTGCCTCTGCCTCTTCTGGCTAGTGCCACAGTAACATTTGGTAGAAAAGTTTTGAAACGTGTCCCCGCGGCAAGTGGACCCTGCTGCCCTTCATCTCCCTGCTGTCATCCACCTTGCAAACAACTCACAACTCAAGTAACTTTTTGGATAGTTCAGAGTTCTTAATTTGGAACTCAAGTCCAAACTTGAGCAAACAATCTACGTCATTTGGCAGTGCTAAGCTTTCCGCAGAGTCTGATCCCAGTGCGGACACGCCATGGGGACAGGACTAAAGCGTCAGAGTTTAATGACAACCGCTGGCCACAGGTAAGCCAGCCTACAGCCACTAATCAGAAGAGGACAGCAAGCCAAGAGTGCAAGGCTGGCCACGCTCGGGCTGGCCACGCGTGAGGCAGGGGCCCTCGGGACGCGCCGAAGGAGCGCTCGCACCTGGGATCGCGGGGCGGCTCCGGTCCGAGTCGGGGGACGACCTTCGGAAGGCCCCCGCGTCCCCACGCGGGAGCAGCGGCTCCTGGTCGCCGGCCTCCCGGGGGGCGGCCGCGCCCTCGCCCCCCGCCGCCTCTAGTAGTCTCACGGCGCCGCCAGGCGCGGCTCTGCGCGGCTGGGCCCCGGCGTTGCGCGGCAGCAGCGGCTCCCGCTCCTCGTCCTCCTCCTCCTCCGGGCTCCCACCGCCCGCGGACGTCCGCCCGCCGCGCTCACAGGGCTCCGCCATGGGCGCACCCACGCTTTCAGAGGCCGGATCGGAGCGGTCAGCTGCCGGGGTCCGACATCCGCATCGCGGGGAACATGAGCCGC